AATGAACCAGCTCTCTCCCATTCAGAGAGATAGATTTATCCATTTAGCCCCTATGCTCACTAATGAGGCCCAGGTTCAAGAGCAGGTAATTTGGGCCATAGACATGTCTAGGGTATGTCTACCCAAGGAGTACACAAGGCTTTCCAAGGGCTGTGCGGCAGGGCACTGAGAGTATGTTTTGCCTCTGGGGGATAGATTTTAACTGACCTATTTTAAAGTCAGTCCCTGGAAAAACCCCTGGTAATTTGAGCCAAATTCCATGCACTCCAACTTGCAGTTGTAGGTCTTATACACGCACTGAAAGGTTTTTTGTTTTTTTTGTTTTGTTTTGTTTTGTTTTGTTTTAATTAACTTATATTGTATTATTTGTTTAGGAGTACAGGTCTGGGATTCATCAGTCTTTCACAATTCACAACACTCATCATAGCACATACCCTCACCAATGTCCATCACCCAGCCACCCTATCCCTCCTACCCCTCTCCCCTCTAGCAACCCTCAGTTTGTTTCCTGAGATTAAGAGTCTCTTATGGTTTGTCTCCCTCTCTGGTTTCTTCTTGTTTCATGGAGCACAATGAAAGTTTTAAGAGAATGCATTCAGGATCTCAGATTTCCTAAATCAGTCTGCCTGAGAAGGTGCTTGAAATTAAATTGTAATTCTGGTTCTCCTTTCGGACGGTTCCCACTTTCTAAGTTGTCCAGGAAATAATTTACCTTTACTTTCATTGTCATTCACACCATCCAACTATTCTCAAAAAAAAAAAAAAAAAAAAGGGGGGGCTTCTCTTGGAAGGGGGCCCCACAAAAGGAAGCAGAAACATATATTTGTAATAAATTCATGGCAAAGTGATGCCTTCTCTATCTTGGAATTAGAGAGAGAGAAAGAAAGAGGTGTCTTCTGGCAGAGGACAATGTGATTTGGCCTATTAAAATAAACAGCATTCAGTTTTACCTACCTTTCTGGCTGTATTGGGTTAAACTATGTGCTTCTAAGTAAAAGAGAAACGTATCTTTAATAGTCATTTGATAAGACCTGGTAAAATGTTAGCAGTATACTGTCCAGATATTGTGAAATTGAATAAATTTAATACTGAGTTACAAAACCTTTTGCAAGTCAGGTATTTTTCATTTCATTGCTTTGAAAGAAATTGAAGGAGGAACTAATTGAATTGTCAGCTGTGAGATCATTAAAATAATTTTTGAAGCTGTATTACTGTGTGATTGTTGGCACACATCTTGGAAGGGGTTCAAAGAATTGAGTGGCACTGTTATACAAGATTCTCCCTTGCTTATGTGAACTAGGTTTTTCTCAAACAAAAATAGGAATCAAATGGGTCCTGAGCTCTATCTCATTCTAGCAACAATGGTATTTATTCAAGGTACAATTTTAAAAAGCTTCATCTACCCCATTAAGTACTAGATTTCCAGTAAAACTTTACCTTTTATGTTTAATTATACTTAAAAACATGGACAATATACTTATGTTATTTTATCGATATTGTCCTTGTAATAATAACTCATTCTAAAAGAAGATAGTATTACTCAGAGCTTTATGATCACAGGACATAAAAGAAATCTCAATTTAAATCTCTCTCTATATATTTGCAAATAAATATGAGAGCTAATCAATAGAAGATTTTTAAGCCTGAAATACTACATCAAGATAAAATCCTACAGAGGACATATTGGAAACACAAAACTTAAGGTTTTAAAAAGGAACAATGCACATTTTATGACTAATTAAGAAGAGCTTGTTCATAAATTTTGAAACTAGATAACCAAATCACTATTGCATTTTAATTTTATTGAAAAAAATGGATATATAAAGGAATACTGTGACAGTTTAAATCTGAATATTCTCCACAGGCCAGTAATGTATCCTTTTAATTTAGATTTTAAAAATTATATGAACTTAAAAATGTGAAAGAGGTTACATAATTTACCAAAATGAAAGCAACAATATGTGTTTGTACCTTGTCACCTGAGTTTGTGTGGTCCTGAGGATTAGAAGGTGACTCTCTTTACTCTGTCCCAATTTACCATCCACTTCTAAGCTTGCCAGTTCCTGGCATTGCACAATTAGAACTTCATTGTTAGGAGTTACTCAAACAGGGATTTGGTGTTTATGAAAACGCAGCTATCATAAAGAAAGGTTGCACACTAACCCTTATCAATCATTTGCAACTGAGAGTAAGTGAATGAACTTATCATTTTTTTTTTTTTTTTTGGTTCCTGCTAATAAATGCTTTTGGAAATGTAGAGTGGGGAAGTTTCTTTAAGGCTTTTTGATCTTCATAAAGGAAATAGAAAGTTGCTAGAGAAGGAAAAAAACTACATAGAGACTGAAGCTAGAGTTGCAGGATATGGAGAAAACAGCATGGCTTCATTTTTTTTTTTTTTTTTTAAATCACCATGACACACCTGTGAAGGTGGCAGTCACTCAATAATACTTGAACTATCATATTCTAATGGCAAATAAGGTTGGCCCCAAAACTACTGGTGTTCAGAGATGTCTGTGTCAAGTTAAAAAGCAAAGAGACAAACTGATTCTAGAAATGTTAGTGTATGATTCTATTTCAGGTAAATAATTCAACACAGTCTTTACATATGTGAATATATGTATGTAAGGAGTGAGATGTGGAAGAAGTAGCCAGAATGTTACCAAATTAAGGGCCTCATTTGTTCACATGTTTAATCATGCTTACTACATTTTTGTAGTTTGAAAAACAGCAAATAAAAGTTAGAAGAGAAAAACTTCTTCTTGTCCTTTGAAAGTATCTAATTATCAGCCTAACCCCAAGGTTGCCAGGACCTGCTGACTGACAGGTGGACTTATGCAGAAGATTTCTGTGATTGGAAGCTAGTATTATTTCTGTGTGCCATACCAACCAGGGAGAGTATTTTGCTAAACTGAGTGCTGTCCTCTTTCTCTTCTTTTTTTTTTTTTTTTTAAGATTTTATTTTATTTATTTGACAGAGAGAGACATAGGAGAGAGGGAACACAAGCAGGGGGAGTAGGAGAGGAAGAAGCAAGCTTCTTGCTGAGCAGGGAGCCCGACGTGGGGCTTGATCCCAGGATCCTGGGATCATGGTCTGAGCCAAAGGCAGCCACCAAATGACTGAGCCACCCAGGTGGTTCACACTTTTCCTCTTTCAACAGAAATTGTTATTTTAGTGCTTCAGTATTATTCTGCTCCTATGGTCATTCAGGATGACCACATTGTTAAGGGAAAACAGTATGTTCTAATGTGCTTGATCTCTCCTTTATTGCCAGCGTCCTTGGTGCTCTCATCCCCTGAGCCTTGTCAGAAGGCTCTCTGCTTTCAGTCAAAATGGGATCAGAGGGGTGCCTGGGTGGCTCATTGGGTTAAGCCTCTGCCTTTGGCTCAGGTCATGATCTCAGGGGCCTGGGATCAAGGCCAGCACAGGGCTTTCGCTCAGCAGGGAGCCTGCTTCCTCCTCTCTTTCTCTGCCTGCCTCTCTGCCTACTTGTGATCTCTCTCTGTCAAATAAATAAAATCTTAAAAAAAAAAAAAAGAATCAGATTTGGTGAGATACGGCAATGTTTTTTTCTGTTTTCTCACGTGGAGGTGCTGGATTCATGTTCCTTGTGCCCTAAGGTGGGCCTCATACCTCTTTGCTAGGATGTCTGCAGAGAGCGGCACAGGAATAATTGTACTTTCCTATTTGCCCAGATACTGCAACTCAGGTTCAGACTAAAGCAACAAGTGGCAGGTGGGCGTATCTAGGGCCTTTAACTACACCCATCTTTGCAATCCACATTTATAAGGGATTCCCTTCTATTTTCTTTTTCTTTCTCTCTTTCTCTTTCTCTTTCTTTCCTTTCCTTTCCTTTTTCTTTTCTTTTCTTTTTTTTTTAAGAGAGAGAGAGAGAGACAGTGAGCAGTGGGGACAAGCAGAAGGACTAAGCAAGCTCCATGCCCAGCACAGAGCCCCATGGGGGGCTCAATCTTATTACCCTGAGATTATGACCTGAGCTGAAACCAAGAATCAGACGCTTAACCTATTGAGTCACCCAGGTGCCCCTCTTTTCTTTTCTTTTCACAGATTATAGGATTATGATGCACATATGCAAATTTTCTTTCAGAGCAGCAGGTGTATTTGTTTCTGCATTAAACTTGAAAGACTGCACGTCATACACCACCAAAAAAGAAATTCCATAGTTTCCAGTTGTAGGGAAGAATGGATGTGAGGTTATGAGGGAATAGAGGTTAGCTCTTTACCCTGATAATGTCCGAGGTGACATCAGCTATATTATTCTCTTGGAGGGGGGGTGGCCGTAAGAGGGAAAAGGAACACTAACTGACCACTTTCTTATTCTTTCTGCTGACATTTTTAGAGGTAGCCCTGACTTCCTCAAAAATTGCTGGGTTTCTAAGGTGAATTTTATCAATCTGTGTTATAAATCGTAGTTTGCAGGCTTTGGGTAGCTTAGGGGTACAAGAAGATTATGGATACCAGGGAGGGCTGGCAGTAATATGTTCACTTTTTGACTAACAACAGGTTAGGTATTTGCTTTTTGGATTATCTGTGACCTTATTTGAAATACTGATCTACTTTCCTCTCCCCTATGCCCCTGGGCCACCTCTCCCACAATGTGGTAAATGTACTCAAGAAATATAAACTAATTTTCATATAAGCCTGGGGGGAAAATAAGATGGAAAGCAAATATACAGCAAAGATATTCACATAATATGTTCTTAAATCAAATAGGAATGATTTTATATCATCAGTTCTTCAAGATGATTCAGGCCACTGTTACCCTATATTTAGGAGGTTTCATCAATAATTGATTGTTTCTTTTAACATTGGGTTGTGTTGTTTCATTTAGTCTTCAAAATATAGCAACCACATTTTTAATACAATCTCTCAACACTCTCTTCCTCCCTCCCCACTTCCCTTTCTCAATGTTTCCCTTCCCCTTTTCCTCCCCTCTTCCCCCACACCCCTGCTCTCCTTTCTCCACACCCCTCACTTACAGGTGTACCATAGATGACCGAGTCACCCGGGTGGCCTGGCTAAACCGTAGCACCATCCTCTATGCTGGGAATGACAAGTGGTCCATAGACCCTCGTGTGATCATCCTGGTCAACACTCCAACCCAGTACAGCATCATGATCCAGAATGTGGATGTGTATGATGAAGGCCCATACACCTGCTCTGTGCAGACAGACAACCACCCTAAAACTTCCCGGGTCCACCTCATAGTGCAAGGTGAGTCACAGCTGGATCTGGGGGTTAGAGGTCCTGTCAACGATGGAAGGGAAGCATAATCTCAAACTTGGCTTTTACTCATGTGTGAAGACATGAAAAACATTTTCCTCTATGGAACCCCAAGATTGAGTGTTATGTTTTGGATTCCTTCCCATCTGCTGGGTTCTTGACTAAGTACCGAATATCTTCACAGTTTCTCAATTTTATCTCTGGTCCTTCTGTTCTTATTAATAAGTTGCTTAGCATGTGCTGGTTAAACTTTATTAAGTTATTTAGTACTCTGGAGTTGGACAAGAAATACTAAAAAATAGAGTCATTACTATTCTCTGTGCCTTTTAATTACCTTTCATAAGATTATTTCATAATAAGAGGTTAATAACATTGATGTGAAGTTATGTGCCTTGTGACTGGTTTTCAGATGGTTGTTGGGTGTGCATGCTCCAGAAGGGGTTCTGGGTGCTGTCGTCAAGTCCTCCCTGGCATGGACGCTGGATCTTTGCATCTCTTTAGCCTCACAATGGAGCCGAGATTAGGAAGGATATTAGTCAAAATGCTATCTCCAGGTCAATGTCAGAAATACATTAATATAATTTTTTGAAAGGGGAGATGTTTTCTAACATCCTCCCGCATTCTCCCTTTAAAAAAAATCTGTGTTAGTGTACCCAAGCATATTATTCAATAGTTTTTCATTAGGATTTCACAATGTAGGAAAAAAAATAAGGCTGAGAAATGTCAGATTCCCAGATATCAACTATTATTAAGAATTAAAAATACATTCAAGTAACAGCTGGGAGAATTTGGGAGTCATTTTAAAACAAGGCAGCAATACAAATGGACTTATTTTAAACTATCCCGACTAACATCACTCCCCCATCCCCCCCATCACCACGTAAAGCAGTTTCTGTCAGGTATTGACTCATGGTAGCAATGAAGTGCCAAGGAGACTACTTCCCACCCCCAGTGCCATAGCCTTCCTCCACTAAAGGAAAGGGTTGGGTAGACTTTTCTCACAGTTTCCACTACTGACATGTTGGAGTCAAACACTGAGCTCTCAGTGTTTGAAGGAGTCCCTGGGTATGATTCAGTCTTTAGTAAGTGCCTTTTATTAGATCCCATCTGCACTAGATTCAACGTTTTTTCTCTTTTCAATTTGTTAAATGTGTGTGGCATCTTGGCTTAGTTCATGTGGATCCCCTCACCCTTGCTTTACCAAAGAATATAATTTTTCTCATTTCTGTTGGTTTCATGGAGAGTTTGAGTATAGATTAGTGTTTTTTTTTTTTTTTAATACTTTAATCACTTGTAGAATTCAGGATAGATATCCTCTTCTTTTGGCTAGAAGAGCTCTTTACCAGATCTCTAGCTCTGTGGGGCCATTTGTAACAGCTTGTTCCAGACCAGAGATCAGTCTGCTGCAGCTCTGTTCCCCATTCAGACCCTGGTGCTGCCATATTGCTTGAAGCGCAATCTCAGTTCAGCCTTCCAGACCTTCTCTCATCCCTGAGGGCTTTCAGATGCCCACATCAGCCTGCATATGACAGATGTCTGTACACTCCGCTGTTTCCATTCTCCATACATGTCCCACCCAGGGGTGTGGCTTGGTGATGATCACTGCTTTGGAGCTACAAGATGCTTGCCATCTGGAGATAAAGACAACTGTCATGTCTGTTGCTTCTTCTCAGAGGCTGGTAGAGGCGCTTGGTGAGATCAGTTATCTGAGATGATCTGGAATGTCTGTTGAAAGTTCCTGGGGTGCAGAAAACAAGGGGGTGTAAGTTCTCACTACCCCGCCTGCCACCTGGGCTTGGCTCCAGAGGAGCTGAAATTCTCAGCTTTGGAAGTGACGCCTCCGTGACACCTTTGTGGCCTTGACAGCAAAGTTATCTTCAAATTCAGGAAATGCAGCACTGAAATAAAAAAGAACTGTCAGGCACTGTACAGAAACAGACTCAAACAGAGCAAGGCTATCACTTTTCAGGAAATAAGACAGATTGTGTAAGCATGTCAAAGTCAATACAGGCCATAAAGGGCTAGTGATGCAGAGCTTCAGGGATAATGTGCTTCATAAGGCCCTTGGAGCAATTCCTTGGGATGGATATGGAAGTCAGTGGGGTCTCCCTGTGGGTCTCATAGGCTTGGGTCAGAAAGAGTCTGAGAGCAGGCAAGAGCAGAGCAGTGGAGTGACTTCAATTTCAGAGGTCAGTTCCTCACAGTCTCTACATTTCAGGCCAAGTGACTGTTGTAGCTCTGGGTGGCTGAGGTGGCCTGTGAAATCCAATGCAGAAGATCAGGAAAGGTGTAGGTGAAAGGAGACAACCTTCCCTTGGAACACTTAGCAGATGGATCTTTCCATTTACTGAGAGGTAAAAGGAAGGCACGCAGGGAGCTGCATTATCTTCTGTCTTGTTTAGCAATGGAGTGACATGTTTTTTCTTTGGAAACCAGTTGAATTTCTAGTAGGTGGAAGCAGAGACCCCACTGCTCGATTAGAAAGAAGTCCAAGAGTCCTCCTTCTTCCCAGCACCTATTGGCTTTTGTCCAGTCTATAGATTAATTTTTCAGACTTAGTGTTAGTTCAGGTTAGATAAAGATAATGAAAGTTTCCTAATCCTCTTAAAGAAGATTTATCTGACTGAGTAGAAAGCTTTTGGAATACAATAAGGCATGTATAAAACTGAGGCCTAATCTTGCCTTTAATTTCAAACTGCTGATGGGTATTGATTTTGCAATGAGAAAAACTGAAAAATTTCCGAGCTGCAACTTGTCTGTTTAGAGAGAGAAAGAGAGAGAGAGAGAGAGAGAGAGAGAGAGAAGGGTGTTTATTTATCTTCTGTCCATTTGAGGATGCTAGAATCTCATCACTTCTGCCAACCAAGTGCCATTAGCAGAAGGGAGAGCAATCCCACAGGGTCCTGGCTTTGTTGCTCCCTGCTGCTGCAGTGTGAGGAACTCAGACACACTCTATCACTAACCTCAGAGCCTGCCCTTGCTGTTTTATAAGGTGGCCTTTGCCACATATCTGATGGGATTAATTTCCAACTTTTCTGTGAGAGAAGCTGTGTTTGTTAAAAAATATATATATATATATATATATCACTGATTCTCAGGACACACCTTGGCCATGGGGGAGATAATTTTAAAGTCCCATGTGAGTATGTATGATAATGTGACCTAGACTGTGTACCTAGGTTTTAAGAAAATCCAGAGCAAGAGAGAAATGTTGCTGTGGATTCAGATTAGTCAGGTAGGAAAATCAACCTGGCAGCCCTTTATGGGATGGACTGAGTGGAGAGAAGCCTGAATAATAGGGAGTATGTTACTACCATCACTGAAAAGCTGGGACTTGAGTGGGCTGTAGGTCTACCTATGGAGATGGAGAAGGTTCCTCCAGGAGACAGTGTCCAAAAGAAATTGGGAGGATTAATCTTAATTCCTTGAAAGAGGAAGGATTAAAAGGGTATCACCTACATTTTTGAGTCTGGGGAAATGTTGAAGACCTGGCTAATAATTATGGAAATAGGATCCTGTGCCACTAGGATGGGAAAGCATTAGTCTTGCTAGGTTTAGGGATAAGGAAGGCACAGACATTACACAGGTCCTATAGAGCTAAGGTGTAACTCAGGATCAGATGAGTTATATTTGAGATTCATCATGAATCTTCTAGAAGGAGAGTAGGTAAGATTTTTGAGATCAACTCTTCCTACACAACAGCAGGGACCACGGTTTATATATCTATTCCCAGCACATAGCACGCTGTGTGGGGCATACTGGGCATTCAGCAAATGTTTGAAAAATGAATGGAGGGACAGATTGATACAGCAAATGAAATGGCAAATGAAGGCAGTGACCATAAAGCCCCTTCAAGCAAACAGGAGTGGGGAATGAGTCAAACACTGTCCAGATGACTTGGAGTGGGCACTAATTGGGAACAGTTCCCTGGAGGGATGAGGGTCTTCAGTGTGACAAGCTAAGAGATACACCAGGGATAACATGCATTTATTTAGCACTCTACAGCACCGGTCACAATCTTTGTCTCGTTTGACCCTTACAACAAGCCCTGGGAGGCTGCAGTGCAGTGACTGTTCTCTTCATTTTGCAAATTAGATAACTACAGCTCATGGAGGTTAAGAGAGCAGCCAGGGCCCCCAGTGAGTAAGTAACAGAGCTGGGGCTTGAACCATGGCCGTAGGACTCTGAGATCAATGTCTCCAGTGGACTCCAACACATCCTCTCCTAACCATATCTAAGGTTAGTTCTCTAATTCAGATCCCAGGGAAATTTTCAGTTATCTTTTCTTCTTTTCCCCCCTTTCCCCTGCTACTGATATTGTATTGCAGCAGAAATTGAGGACAAAATGCAAGAAGAAAATTAGCAGTGGGGGTGGGATGCCAGTGCTGCAATAAATGGTATAGAGAGGCAGAGAGAGGCAAAGAAGAAGATAATTAATTTACCAGTAGCTCATCCCTCCAGGGATACACGTTTTAAATGTTACCTCTTTATCCTATGTAAGTACTAAAAACTCTGCCCCTCTAAGATTCAATATCTAATTGTGATTCTAATTGTCATGAAGTCTTCAGGACTCTGAAACTCCATGGATATCCTTGTGTCGCTATGGCTGTTGTCCTTGTACAGGATAGACTGGCAAGAAGATAAGCTGGCTCTCTCCTCCTTGGATTTTGACATTGTCTTCCTGCTCTCTTGGCTAGTTCAGAAATCCATTTACTACCAGGTATTTCTTTTCATGGATTCGACTTCTCTTGCTCAGCCTGATTGTATGCAAATGGCTAGAAATAGTGAATTATGTTTATTCCTCACATCTGAGACTCTATAACAAGCTCATGCAGTTTCTGTGTCTGCAAAAGACTTTGAGTCTTTGAGCCTGGAGTCCATTCAGTTTGGTACCCAACATAGAGTTTAGAAGGTGGAGAAGTTCTGATCTGCCAACCAGTCCTAGATTCTGCTGAGCACCAGTCAACTTCTGCATTGGGCACATAAAGCAT